CGTGCTGCTGGTCTCAGGGCTGTGATTCAGAACTATGACTGAAGCTAGATCTTATTTGCTGAGACATAACACTTCACTCTTTGGAGCTGCATGACCAGTACTAATTATTATTGAAGTAAATCACAAAACAAAATGCAGTTAAGTACAAATGCCCAAGTAGAGATTTTCTATTAAATCTAAGGTCATAGTCAAGTGTGAGTTTATTTTTAATGTTTCTTTTCCATATTTTTTAAAACTGTTCAATTAACCACCTAGCTACATCCATAATCCAAATTACCACTATGACTTTGACAGCTGGGAGTATCCTAAATGTAGATAATGAAGATCAAATAGATTACATGTCAAATAAATGAGATATAAAGGAAAACAAGTTAGACTCCTTTTCCTTTTATGCAAAAATGAAAAACATGCATCAAAACCATTTGAAACTCATACTGCTGTTTTTAGCTACAACACATATTTTTAAACAACATTTTGAAAATATGTCAAATTCTAAAACAACTAACTTCATTAAAGAACAACAACAACAATTTTTTTAGAAGAGAGAAACTTCGACTCTCCCTTGTTAAGCTTCACAGTACTTGGCTACATGTGTGTCCTCTCCTTAATTCTGTTCAAAATAACAAAAAGTGCTGCCCTATAAAAACTTACCAATATAAAATACATATCATTAAAAACAAACATAATTATGCTTTTATACAAAATGTTTTGAGAAATATACTTATTTAGTTAATGTGGAACTACCTTTCCCTCAGGAGCTAATAGCACAGTAATGCAGATAAAAAACACAATTGCATCACCTTGGAAATTTTATTAAGAACAACATAGTCACTAGTCTAATGGCATAAGTGAAAGTCACAAAAAATTTGTATGAATTGGTTGTTGACTCTACTATTGTTGTTAAGTGCTGTCAAGTCATCTGCAACTCATAGCGACCCTATGCACAGCAGAACAAAACACTGCCCGCTCCTGTGCCAGCCTCACAATCCTTGCAATACCTGAGCCTATTGTTGCAGCCACTGTGTCAGTCCATCTTGTTGAGGGACTTCCCCTTTTTTATTCACCCTCCACTTTACCAAGCATGATATCTTTCTCCAGGGAATGGTCTTTTCTGACACCATAACCGAAGTAGGTGAGACGGAGTCTAGCCATTCTCATTTCCAAGGAGCATTTTGGCTGCACTTCTTCAGAGACAGACCTGTTCGTTCTTTTAGCAGTCCATGGTACTCTCAGTATTCTTCACCAGCACTACAACTCAAAAGCATCAACTCTTCTTTGCTCTTCCTTAGTCATTGTCCTCCTCTCACAAGCATATGAGACAATTGAAAATACCATGACTTGGGTTAGGTGCATCTTAGTCTTCAAGGAAGTATCTGCTTTTCAGCACTTGAAACAGGTCTTTTGCAGCAGAATCGCCCAATGCACTATGTCATCTGATGTCCTGACTGCTGCTTCCATTGTTGTTGATTGTCGAACCAAGTAATATGAAGTCTTTGCCAACTTCAATCTTTTCTCCATTTATCATGATGCTGCTTATTGGTCCACACCAAAAAACCAAACTCACTGACATTGAGTCAATTTGACTCAGAGTGACCCTTCCTTGGATTTCTGAGGCAGTATGTCTACAGCAGGAGACTGCCCAGTATTCCTTCTGAGGAGTGGCTGGTGGGCTGTGAGGATTTTTGTTTTCTTTTTCTGTTGGTTAGTGTTAAACCCAATATGTCAGTGGAAGTTTCACATGCAAATAGTCTGTTTATTTATATTTTCTTTTGAATAAGTGAAATGGTTTAATTACTTTACCAAATATGTGTGTGTATGTGTATAAAATATATGATTCAATGTTAAATTGTTCTCATCAAGCTGTAGCCCAAGTTTATTATATCACTTTAAATGTAAAATTAGAAATGAATGTACATTTTCATTCCATTCTGCCATCAAGTCGGCATCATGAATGGATGTGTGTGATGTATTTGGCCAATAAACATAGTAAACCACACTTCGTAAAAGCTAAAGTTGTGTAATCTAATCTAGCTTGTGTAACTTGACAATTTTTCTATTTCCCATGTGGATAAGGAATCTAAGTCAGAACCTATTTTACTTTTATATCATGTGTCAATTGAGTATAAAAGTCCCGAACCTGAGAAATTGGTAAGAAAACATAATGGGCCATCATCTTATGATTTCATTCATCTGTGTGTGAGATTCAGTCAGAGATTTCTAACTCCATTTAATTACATAACACGCCAAAAAAAGTAGAGTCTTGTCATAAAAGGCTATGCAATAATAAAAGATTGTGTTAGTGTGCTTATCATCAGAGCTCTTCCAGAGATCCTGCCACTGAAACCTCAACTGACCCCATCAACAGGCAGGTGGCAGTTGATCGACTCAAAACAAAGTCACTGAAAAAATAATTTCAGTTACCAGAGTTTTGCTGCCCATGGTGTAGACAGAAGAGAGCAGAGGTCATCTGTCTTTCTGGATTTGCGTGCCAAGTAGTATTTACTTCTTGCTCTTATAAGGAATAAGGAAAGAGGCACTATTGGGAAACACTACAAAAACCCAGCCTCAAATTTCCATCAATATCAAGTAGGAAATTGTAGATGCAGGAGTTGAGGCTACTGTGCCTTTATCTTAGGGCTGTCTGGAGTTCCTATTAAAATGTAAATTTCACTGTTAGCCCTACTCTGGTGGTAGGGCCTAAGCCATTTGACTGCTAACCAGAAGGCTGGCGGTTCAAACCCACCAGCCACTCCTCAGAAGGAAGCCCGGGCAATCTACTTCCATAGAGATACTACCTCGGAAACCCAAGGAGGGGTCGTTATGAGTCAAATTGACTCGACAGTGATGAGTTTGGTTGTTTTTGGTTATTGTTGTTGTTGTTATTTGCCGTCGAGTCGCCCCCGACTCATAGCGACCCCTCCTTGGGTTTCCGAGGCAATATCACTACGGAAGTAGGATTGCCCAACCTTCCTTCCGAGGAGTGGCTGGTGGGTTTGAACCGCCAGCCTTCTGGTTAGCAGTCAAGTGCTTTAGCCACTATGCTACCAGAGCTCCCCGTTTTTGGTTATATAGCACCTTAATTAGCAGCACTACTTAGCAAGAAACTAGCATTAAAGAGAGGAGCAATGTCTGTAATGTGGAGTAAATGGGTGCTTAATAGGAAAAAAAAAAAAAAAAAACCTGACATCCAGTTGATTCCGACTCATAGTGACCCCCACTGAGTTTCCAAGGTGGTAAATCTTTACAGAAGTAGATGGCCCCTTCTTCCTTCTGGAAAGTTGCTTGTGGGTTTGAACCACCAACCTTTTGGTTAGCAGTTAAATGCCTTAGGCACTGCACCACCAGGGCTCAGTCAAGATCATTATTGTCAGTTGCCATCGAGTTGATTCTGACTCGTGGCAACCCCATGTGTGCTGTGTAGAAGTGTTTCATAGGGTGTTTAATGCCTGTGACCTTTTGGAAGCAGATTGCCATGGCTGTCTTCCAAGGTATCTCTTGGTGGATTAGGGAGGAAAAACTATTAGGAAATTTTCTGTGGTATAAACACCTCAGGTATTGGTCTCCCAACACAACCCATACCTAAGTTGCTAGCAAACTAGGAATTAAATGTTTAAAACCTGTTGGAAAAATTATTCTTTCCTTAAAATAACACTATCCTTATGGCTTCATGGTTCTTGGTCTTTCTTTCTTATATTCATGGTGCCAGTGTGTATGCTTCTCTTCATATAAAATGTCTCTAATGCTTTTTGGAAGACGAAGGTATATAAATAATAACCACTTTACTAGACTTATCATCATGCATTTTTTAATCTACTTTCAGCTCTTTGTCTGCTATAGACTGTGACCTATGTAGCTCAATAAGGCTCTTATCATTATTAGAAAGCTAAAAGAATTGTTCCTTTATATATTTATACCAGCACACTGTCCATGAAGAAACGGTGATGGTGATGCCTGAAGACATGCCTTTGGAAATTTCTTATGTGCCTTCTACTTATCTGACTGAGATCACTCATGTCACACAAGCCCTAGCCGAAGTGGAACAACTTCTTAATGCTCCTGACCTGTGTGCTAAAGATTTTGAAGATCTCTTTAAACAAGAGGAGTCTCTGAAGGTAAAAGCAAAACACTTTCATTCAGATTTTACGAGATGATCACGCTGATCCTTTTTGCTGCACCGTAGCAATTGACTTAAACTTGCACAGTGAAGGCATTTTGACTTACACAAGGAATTCTTACAAACACTTTAAAGGTTGCTGTGCTTTAGAATTCTGGGTTAAATTAGAAGAGAGTGTTTTATTACATTTTATGTTGAGAGATTTTGTAAAAACAAAAGTATACATAAAAACCATGGTTTCCACATTTATTCATGGCAGAGAGGTTTCTAAAGGAACAGTTTATTCCTAACCAATATGTTACTTTCTTTTCTCCCCAAAAGAGATATTAGGTGAACTTTTAAAACATATCTATTGTACCTTGGTTAAGTCTTATATTTTTCACTTATAATATTTATATTCCATTTCAAATGAATGTCAATAGCAATACTATCTTACATGGCATATAATCGTATTAAGTATAACATCGTGTCTTTAAAACTCCCAGCCAAAGGCTACCAACCAAATCTAGCTTCCTTTTCAAGCCACCAAAAGGAAGTTTCTGAATTCTAAACTAACACAAAACATAGTGAGGGAATAGGCTATGAAGTTTAGAAGACTGTGTCTGAAGATAAATGAATGTAGCGTGAAGAAAATGTACATCATAATGTGTGTCTCAAGATAATCTTTGAGATCATACATTTTATACTCAAAATGAAATATTATCGTATAACCAGAACTTGATATTTTCCAGTGCTAACAGCATAAGATTATAGAGAGAAGATGAGTGTGCTATCAGCAGCACCTATTAAGTAAAGTATTTTATATTCTAAATAATTTCTTGGGAGCTCATTCCATAGTACACATTTGTCTGCATGAAGATACAAATGGATAAAGCTAGTTGTTTGTTTTGGAAATTGGAGTTGCAATATCTTGAATGACTTGAGCTTAATATCTTACATTATATCCAATAAGCTATAAAATTACATACTAAAAATAAGAGGCACACTGATCTCTGGAACGAGTTTGCTCATTTCAGTATGGTGCTGTTTCTTATTCCCTTTGAAGTAGAAGTCAAGTCACTTATGACTGCAATGGAGAAAAGGTCCCAAATCAATTGATAAGAGAAGGCATGCCAGCATTCTTGTCATTATTCCCATTAAGTAATTACTCAGGACAGCAGAGTTTGCAAATTCAACATTGTCATTCAACATTTAAATCACTGCTAATGAGCTAGTATTCACTCCTGTCCATATTCTTGAACATACAGGTCATGAGAGCAGTGACACTGAATTTATTAAGTTGCTTATTGAATGTCTCTCTCTTCATACCTCTTAACCTAGTGTACCCCTGGCTAAATTCAGTGACCCTGAATTTATTAAGTTGCTTATTGAATGTCCCTCACTTCATACCTCTTAACCTGGTGTACCCCTGGCTCTACTCATATTTAATCATTTATTCATCCAGATATATTTAGTATTATTACAGGTGACACAAACGTTGATGTTATTGATTATTGTGGTCTGTAAGAAAGCGTTATTCCTCTTCAATTTAACTGGATTATTGAATCTTCATGAGATGCTGCTTTGGGCTTAGTTCCAGCTGATTCCCAACAGATCTCCTGCAGTAGGCATATGGGTTTCCTCCCTGTGTGGACTTTTTGAAAAGGATAGTTTTGATCTCAGTCTTTACAATGAATATGGATTTCCTCTTAAAGGCCTTCATCATTGTCGATATCCAGTAGTAAAAATAGAAAAGCTGTGCATAAAACATACAGCTGCTTGTTGGAAGGTTTGAAATTAAATTGTGGTTGATTTTATTCCTGACTGATTTGCATGAATCAAATTACAACTGTAGTAGTTATTGCAGTGGTTCAATGTACATATGTCTTGAAAATGCAATACAGCACAAATAATGTGTAGCAAGTTAAAATAATTATATTCTGAACAAAATATAACTAAAATAGCATGTATCATTTCCATAGATGTATTGAATTGGAAAGCAATTTAATCATTTTGACAAGGACTAAGCAGGTAAACAACTATTTACATATGAAAATCTTCATTTAATAACGAGTGCTCTAGCTAAGGAATAACTAGAGATAGATGAGAAACATATAGATAAGGACTATTTATTCATATTTCAAAGCAAATATTAGCATTATTAATCAAATTATTGTGATTGTTTATATACAAATTAATGCTATTCACTGGATTGGTATGATTAATTTTAAGAGTAGCATTTTCAAGAGTCTAATATTATAGGGAACTTGAACTTTATTTTTAAGAAAAAAAATGATTGCTTTAACAGAATTCTTTAAAATATAATTACTATGTTAAATAATCAAATCTTGCTTTAAAGTATCTCATTGAAAGTATGAACATAGAAATTTTTAGCATCACAAGTTTTAAGTTATCAGAAGTTTTTCCCCTGCGAGTTTTAAGTATTTGATATCTTGTCATGAAAGCAGAAATGATCCATGTAAGAGGTCCAATTGAAAATGTTTATCCTAATGCCTCCATACACTTGACTTTACTAAGACCGTCACTTCCATAGGTGTACGAGGTACCCTTGGGTCCTTGTCCATAGCCTCTCCTCACTGACCATTTCCTGTATGCTCACTGGTAGCAGCCCATTGCAAGCTCCTGTGACTGATTCTTTTCTCTCTCTAGTCATCAAAGCCCACAGGTTTCGAGGAGCTAAAGCTCTGCCCCCACAAATTTACCAGCAGCATCCAATCAATGACAGATGGGTTTTAGTGGATAACTTTGAAGCATGTTCTACACTGTGACCCAAAGATCCCCAGCAGGATTGAACCCCCTTTGCAAGCAGTAGAAACCTGCACTCTACTGGCTTCCTCCCCCTACCTTCTTCACCCCCTTACTAGGGCTTCCCAGGATCATCCCCAAATAAATAACTTGCTTGCACATTGTTCTCTGAGGATCTGCTTCTAGGGGAACTCAACTTAGGACAATTAGGGAAGAAAAAAAAAATGGCATCTATACTGTTCAGTCAGCACCTGAGAATAAAAGATTGGAAAATACTCATGCCATTTCATGTAGAATTCCACAGTGATACTGCTGCTCTCACCAAGAAGTTCTTCAGTTGTTCAACTAGGCCTTCATGTTGTTAAAGGTGAATTTGCAGGACCCCCCCCAAAAAAAAACATAAAAAATAAGAGAATAGTTTAGAGTAAGCATGGAAACTAGACTTCCCTTTCCTCAAACATGAAAATCAACTTTTAAATAGCACTTACTACACTTTAAGGAGCTCTGGTGTCTTAGCACCTAAGGCTTTGACTTAATGACTGCTAACCAGAAGGTCAGTGGTTCAAACCCACCAGCTGCTCTGTGGAAGGAAGATGGGGCAATCTACTTCTGTAAAGATTTACCACATCAGAAACCCAATGGGGGTCTCTCTGAGTTGGAATCAACTTGATGGCAGTGGGTTTTTGGTACTACACTTTAGTAGTTCTTCTGTCTACTCACCTATATTAACTCATTCATTCTTCCCTACAACTCTATGAATTATCTAAAATTATTATCCCCATTTTATAGCACCTCATGCACCAAATTAGAAGACACTTTCTTTCCATTCAAGGAGCTCTGGTAGGGCAATGATTAAGCACTTGGTTGCTAACCGAACAGTCAGCATTTTGAACCCACCAGCTGCTCAGTGGCAGAAAGATGTGGCAGTCTTCTTCTGTAAAAATTATAGGTTTGAAAACCCAATAGGACAGTTCTACTCTGTCCTACAGGGCCATTACAAGTAGGAATCCACTCAAGGGCAACGAGTTTTGTTTGTTTGTTTGTTTTGGCTTTTATAGATGGGAAAACTGAAGTGGTGTAAAGTAAAATAATTTCACAAAGTTGTCACAGCTAGTATTATTAGAGCAAGAGTTTCAGTCCAAACAATATAGTTGCAGAATCTGTGTTGCTAACCCTTAAATTACGCCACCATTCACAAGGCTGTTTCTAGTGTACTGTGTTAAGCATAGGTAGGGTGAATTCTAACAAAATAAGGTAGCGTACTGAGATCTGCCATGCTCAGTTTATGAGAAAGTATTCTGGCTTCTAATTCTAGGTGAATTCATTTGAGTTTTAAAAAAGATTCCGAAGAAGGAAGGAAGGGAGGAAGAAAAAAGGGAGGAGGGAAGAAAAAAGAAAGGAAGAAAAGAATAAAGTCAGGCATGGAGAATCTCCATTGTCTTATCTGAACTGATAATAACACTGATGATCTGTTTGAGATGGATAAAATGTACGTTCTTGGTAACCAAGAGGGTGAGGAGAAGTGCAGATGTATGTAGAAAACTCACAGATATTGGTAGGAGACTTGATGCTAATGTAGAATTTGGACAAGGTCAAGAAGCAAAGGCAATCCTAGTTCAACCTCAATAGCACTAGAAAGAGCTGTTAGTGAACTTAAAGGGAAAAAGATGGTGTGAAGCAAAGTTGTTTAACTAGTCTCTGGTTCAGCTTCTATGCATTGCTCTTGAAACCAAAAGTGAATTTTTAGGGCAAGTGCTAACGAAGGAGTGCCAATTCAGTCATTCAACAAATATTTATTAAGCTCTTACTATGTACCAGTCACTGTTACAAGTGCTTAAAAAACAATGAACAGAAATGATAGATCTCTGCTTGCATGTACCTTATATTTTAGCAGTGGGAGAGAGAATATAAACAAACAAACAAATAAAGTAAATATTAAATATGAAAGGTGAAACATGCTATGAAAAACTAAACAAAACACATAGGAGTCCTTGAGTGGTGCAAATGATTAACCAGCTTTAAATGTGCTTCAGAAGAAAGGCCTGGTGATCTACTTTTGAAAAGTCACCCATTAATGCATAGACAGGTGAGAAGAGCAGGTGGGGGTAGGTGAACAGGAACCCACCCTAGAACAAGGATAGATTCGGCTGAGGATGATGTTATATATGAACTTGTGATGCAAAATTAATCATATACATTATAGAAGCAACAAAAGACAGGGTTGGAGTAACTTCTCAGAGATAACCAAGCATC